AATATATTTAATTTATATGTTAAGTATATAAGATAAAAAATTCCTTTATAGATTCTGAATTCTACTCTAGTAAATAACTAGTTTTCTTCTGTTTTTTGTTCTTAGTGATGTAATTTTAATTTAAATACTTATTTCTTATGTGTGAAACTCATGAATAAGTATATATATTTAGGGTTTCTCTCGTGCACTGCTTTTAGAGTTGAGAGCAATGACGACAAGTTTTTCTCCCTAGGGTTTCTCTCCGGCAAAAGAGTTCCTTCATCCCTCCTTTCTTCTTACCCCTCCCTTCCTCCTCTTGATCTCCTCCTTCATCTTGTCACTGTCTTGTTGTGGAAACTCCAACCCAAAGGACCACAAGGCAATGATTTTTTGGGTTTTCTAGGGTTTACATCTATTGATTTTCAAAAGCTGTGATTGGAATTGATCTTGCTAGTGAAGTGGGTTTCTCCTATTTAACAGGCAAGAGTCTCATTTTGGTGCATCTCCTTGGATGGGATCTTGGCGAGGTCGAATTCAACGAATCTGGTTCACACCAATTTTCGATCAGTTAGCCGATTGCCGAAGGAAATGGATGTTGTTGGTAAGGCCAGCTATGGTAGGCGTGGGAAGCCTAATTTTCAAGCCGACAAAGGGGCTCTAGTTCCCTTAATGAATTTCGACAGCATGGGTTTGAAGAGGATCGATAAAGATGGGAACATGATTGGGAGTATACGAAGGTGACTGGGGGTCCTTGTGCTTGTTAGGAGAAGGCCTATACCTTCTTGGTTGTTCTTCTTTAAGAACAAATAGGGCAGCAACTTATGGATTGGGGACTGTTTGTTTTTGGAATCCCTTGCTCTCCCCAATTAACTGGTTAAATAAATGAGGATGTCTAGTAGTTCTTAATGCTCACAATGACTCTCATTTTTACGTTAGTAACCCTATTTAACACATACAGCGATTGTAAATTCAATCCTTAGTTGCAGTTGACTTTCTTTGCTTAATTATTTATATCCATCATGGGTATAGTTTAAATTTGTTATTAATATTGTACGTTATGCTTCTGATTTTATCTTTAGATTATTCTGATTTTGTCTTTAGATTATTCTGATTTTGATTATATGCCATAAAATGAAGATTCTACTATAATTTCTTAACACTTAATATATTTCTCTATTTTTCATAAAAAAAAGTATATATATTTATTTATTTCATAAAACACTTTGTTGTGCTTAGATCATTACCAGAAGCACAATAAACAAGTACCAAAAGAAACAAACAATTGTTGGACTGCACAACACGGTTGGATGAGGGTTGAGTTTGTTGAAATTAGGGTTAATAAATATATTATATAATATGTTAAATTAAAATATATATTAATTATTAAAAAATAATAATAATAATATCGGGTAACCCGACAGCTTAAATAAAAGAAAACAGTAGGCAGATGTAAGATTTCGCATCACCTTGACATCATC